ATACTATCAGCTCATCCATAGGATGAATTCGAGTACTGAACAGAACCACAAAACATTTGCCATTTGCGGTGGTGTCTAGGTGACACCCAACACATGTTGTTGACTTAGTTCATTACCAGTCTATATGCCCAAATATGTGACAATCAAGAAGCAATGGCTTAAAGGTGTTCAGGAATTCAAGTCACAAGTGCCACACCAGCTGCAAGCTAATAATGATGAATATGAGGCTCAAGCAAATGAGCATCGAAGACAAATATTTCAAGAAGGTGATCTTGTTATGATATATTTGATACAGAGTGGTTGCCAACAGGCACTTGTGATAAACCTCATAAGATTGGTCCTTGTCCACGATTCAAGTGTATAAATAATAATGTTTATGAGATAGAGTTGCCCAGCCATTTGGACATCGCACCGGTTCAATGTTGCTAATTTGATAAGAGTGGTTGTATATTTGATACAATAGTGGTTGTATATTTGATACAAGAGTGGTTGTATATTTGACACATTAGTGGTTGTATATTGATACAAGAGTGGTTGCCAACAGGCACTTGTGATAAACTTCAGAAGATTGGTCCTTGTCCACTATTCAAGTGTATAAATATTAATGTTTATGAGATAGTGTTGCCCAGCCATTTGGACATCACACCAGTGTTCAATGTTTCTAATTTGTTGGAATATTAGCAAATGGATAATAGCCCAGCACACTGATTGCTAAAGTAAAGAGACAAATTCCCAAGTAAAAGGTGGTGGAAGTTCAACAAAAATTAGAAGTGCAAACTATCAAAACTGGCAACATCTCCTAATCATTAACTCGTCCAGTGGAAAGATTGCCAATCCTCGGAAAGTGCATGTATTTCTGATCACGAGTTGAGCAAAATAGTAGAAAAGCGAGTTATTTTCAACCGGGGAGGATAATGCAGCCCAATTTGCAGTCAGCTCGTGAACCACCGATGGTCAATCCAAGATGACATTTTAATTCTCCTCATACTGATTACTTTTTCCTTTTACAGTGGATTGATTTGGTCCACTAATCAAAGGTCACAACTATTTATTTAGCTCTCAGTTTTTTCCTCAATGGTTAGGGGTAAAATGGGAATTTCAAATTTCTATTGTCAAAGGGCTTTAGGGTTAAAATGAGGAGTCTGGTGGAATTCCATTCATCCAGATCTTTACTTTAGAACTTTAAGAACTTGGAAGCGTGGGAGGTTGTTTTGCATACACCCCCATCATCCCACTGTTATCATCGATTCTGTCTCTGGATATGTGATTGATGTGAATGTTACCATTTGATTTTCTCCTACATATATTTGTGTGTTCTCTGTGTTCAACATTAGAACCCCACAGTTGCATAATATCAGGAACTTATTTTATATGGGAAACTTATTTTAGGTAATCAGGATCAATCTCTGCCCACATGATGCCAACTCAGAGGTATTACTATTAGAGGGAGGTATATTGTATAGATTTGAAGGCCTACACAGATGATCCAATTTATTAGTGCCAAACCACAAAAAGAGGGGTGCTCTCATTAGAAGGTTTTCCGATATGAGTCCAATATGCACCTGAACGTCTAGACATTGATGCTCAAGAATCTGGTTCTATTATGCCAAATCCCTAGATACCATTGGATAATTCAGACCAGTTACAAAACAAAGGTTTATGTGCCTTCCATAAGCCTGAACATCTGGACAACACATCTGATAGCAGTATTTAAGAGGTAAACTGACCCCCTGGTGCTTGCATGGACCATCCACGGAAAAGACAGTCCCAATGTTAAGAACTTTCAGGTAGATAGACATCTGGGTCGTGTATCACAAAATGTCAAGTAAAAATGTATGAGCAACACCGGCAAATAGGTGAGGTTCCTCCATGTGCATAGGATCATTTTTATTTCTTTTTAATGTTAATTTGGAGATCTCACACTCTCAAAAGGACAATTTGTGAACAAAAAGATATACTTCAAACACAAAAGGTTCAGGAAGGAATAAGGGAAGGTCAATTGGTGACATTAGGAGCAATATGGGCAAAAGCATTTAGGAGCCACAGGGACCTACTTATATGAAATAGTTGAAAAAGACATACTAATATGAAATAAATAGTGGAGAAATATAGTAAATTGGAGTAAGAGGGCATTATGGGGTTTGTCATATTTTGAGGAAATGAATATGAAAAAATAATGAGATATGTACTAGGGAGAACTAACAAGTGTGAGGACAACTAGTGGGGAGACAAGTGAAATTTCAGTGACAGTAGGCCTACATCGGCCTACAGCAGGGGTTAGAGTTGAGCCAATATCTCTTTGTTTTCGTTATGGATAAGTTAACTAAACATCTACTGTAGTGCATGTTTTTTTTTTTTTGATAGAGGTTAACTGTATTTTATTAAGAAGAGTCAGTACATGGATTTTTAAAACCGAGGGTCCCTAAGCAGTGGGACACTTCGGAATCTGTTGTGCATGTTGTTCACAGATGATATAGTTTTGATGCCTCATGATGAGGTCTTTGACTCCATTCTCACCAAAGGATAGGGGCCCAAATCCCTATTGACTTTACCCTTTGATTATGGCCTGGGGCTTTGGTGATAGTATTGCCGAGCCCCATGGTGAGGTCTCTAAATCCATTCTCATCAAATGGTAGGGGCCAAATCCCTACTGACATACCACTTTTACTTACTCTTTTTTTTTTATATAGTTTTGATTGATGAGACTAGAGGCGGTGTCAACGCAAAGTTAGAGCATTGGAGGGATTCTCTAGAATTTAAAGGTTTTAAATTTAACCTGAATAAGACAAAATATATGGAATGCAAGTTGGTAATAATAGGAGTAGAAATAAGGAAGTAAAGATTGATGACCAAGAAATACCTAAAAGAGATTTTTTGATATATTGGGCCTATAATCCAAGAGAATGAGAAATTGAGGAAGATATTGTGCATAGAATTAGAGCTGGGTGATATGTAATACCTCATATATATTAAACTAAAAGTAGAATCGTGTAAGATGTCTAATTCTTTAATATTAACTAGCACATAAATTTTGTCATATAACCATAACTATGTAGGAAGTGCACATCCTATGAAGTGTATCCTATCCTTTCATGCAAGAAAGAACAAAATTTATTTCATCGCACAAATGTATGATTGGCGGAATTGTTGAAGTCTGTACTAATGATATAACTATTTTGGGCATGATCAACTCCATTTATGCATCACTTGAAAACCACGGTCCTACAGCTCTGCGAATTTTAATATCAAGATTTGGTTACAACGACAAAAGAAAAACAATTGTATATATAGTAGCATCCTCAGACATGGGATGATGAACCAAGAACGTGAGGGACTAGGGACTAGGACAGAACAGAGGGAGTGGTTCCCACCTTCCGAGGAACAAGATACCTAACATTTCAACATGGACAGTTTCTAGAACATGAATATTTTTCCTGGTGCGAGGACCTAGAACTATGCAAAAGACATTAGGTAGGGTGGCAATGGACCCGGACCCGACCCATACCTACCGGGTATACCCGACACAGGTCTGAGTATCGGTTCAAGTTTTAGACGGGTAGGGTCCGGGTCCAATAAAGGATACCCTGATAGTCCCGGGTCCGGATACAGGACTTGCTATACCCGACCGGGCAGGTACTCGGACCCGAATTTTTAGTTTACCGAAAGGCCAAAGCCGCAACCCTAAAATCGTTTCAATACTTTTCGTCTTCCCCTAGTTCCCCAAACGGGTAAACCCCATCGTCATCTCCCTCTCTGCAATTCTCCCTCTCTCTATTTCTTGGAGACATGGCTCTCTATCTGGATCTCGAATGTCTCTCTCCCTCTCTCTCTCTCTTATCGCCCACCACTTAAAAATTAGCTCTCTGTTGCTCACCGTTGTAAGCTACAAAAAAGGAAGCTCATAGTGAGGGTGGCAATGGACCCGACCAGACCCGAGACCCGACGGGATAGACCCGGGAACCGACGGGTACGGGTATGGGTCCAACTTTTGGACCCGACAGGTCGGGTCCGGGTCCGGGTCCAAAACCTGGACCCGAATGAATTCGGTTCTTGGTTCGGGTCCAGCCGAACCCGAACCAATGCCACCCCTACCATCTGGTTCAAATCCAATGGTATTATACATCATATATCATAAGTTCCATGCGTGAATCATGTAAATGCAATAAGTTACAAATGAAGAATGAAAGGGACAAAATATAAATCCTTACAAGATGATACGCACAATGAGTCATATTCCTCACTTTCCCTCCAAAGTATAGCTCAAGCAACTCTCATTCAACTAAAATTATGAGTATAGATAGATATAGAAAAGAATGAAAGAGGAAGAGCGCAAAAGAACGAAAGAATAGCATTAATATTTTATGCACAGCATGAATATTCCTGATAAATAGATCCAGGAAAACATTGCTATATAGTGTAGTAAAAAACACATGATTTTAGCTTGAACCTTCTAAACATCCTGAAATCAAACTCAATCCATCACACAAATACAATCCAGTCTAGTAACAGGAAATAAACAACCATTCATGTCAACAAGAAACAAAAGGAAAGAAGCCTGACCACATCATATCAGTGAGCAACATAGGAGAGATGAGAGCACGGCATAAAAATAAGTATGGAGTTGAGGAGCATGTTCGCTCAATATATCATCCAAAGTTTGCTAGAGCTTTAAAAAGCACAACCCAATGAACACCCAAAGAGAAACTTGCTCAAATAAAACACAATATGTGGCACTGGATCAATTTATGAAATAAAGTTCATAAATTCGAAATTAAAAATAATTAAATATACTCTACAAAAACAATACTACAGGAATGCACCGAAAACATAAGAATGTGATGGCTTGAACAATTCAGAAAAAATATTAAAAATGACAGGATGGATGAAAAAATACTATGAATTCTTGAATTCTTGACAGCGAGAAGCAAAAGTACAACATATAATCGAATAATTCAGGAGGGCAACAATTGAAAGAGGATGAAGAGGAAATGGAAACGCACCATTAATATCATCAATTCCTTTTGAAGCCTGCAATAAAACCAAGAAACCAACATAAGGAAAACAAAACCAAAAAAAATCAGAAGGGTATCTCAATTTAGAGAGAGAGAGGGGGGGGAGAGAAAGAGACCTCAAAGAGACAGAATTGCTATCAACAGGCTTGGGAGGAGGTTTGGGGTGCTTGGAGGAGGTGGGAGAAGGAGAGATGGAGTTCTCTGTGGCACGGCGAACCTCCATGAGAGAACCTTCACACCAACTTCGTTGCAGAAACTTATTTGTGTCTAACTTGATTGCTCAATTGCCAAACTCCCAAATTTCTTCACGGAAAGAAATGACAAAAACAAAGCCTTTACTCCAAAGGGAAACCGAAATTAATCCGGACCTATGCAAATTCCTCAAACGGAGTAGAGTCTATTATCTTAAGGCGCAAAGAGGTGGGAGCAGGGTAAAAAGTAGGGAGACGCGAACTCTGAAAAGTTGTTTCATACAAAAGAGTCGCAGTTCCAAGAAGAGACAGAGAGCAAGTGTACCAGAGCCGACCGCTCAATCTCATCCAAGGGTGGAAACGATTAGTAAACCTCCTATTATTATAGATACAGGAGTAATATTTATAGAAACAGGAGTAATATAAATAGCAACTCATGTATTATAAGTAGTTTGATATATTTTTATGCTACATACATCACGTATTATCAGAACAACGGTAAACAATTAACTTTTATAAAGACTTAAACAATTTTTTACAAACTGTTACAGACTGAGGAAAACTTGAAATAAACTAACAAATTATTACAGACTGAAGCAAACTTGAAATAAACTAACAAACTATTACAGACTGAAGCAAACTTGAAATAAACTAACAAACTATTACAGACTGAAGCAAACTTGAAATAAACTAACAAACTACTACAGACTGAAGCAAACTTGAAATAAACTAACAAACTATTACAGACTGAAGCAAACCTAACAAACTATTACAGACTGAAGCAAACTTGAAATAAACTAACAAACTATTACAGACTGAAGCAAACTTTATGGAAATAGAGAATACTTACAATACACTCAAACAATAACTGCAGAAATCCTTCCACTCTGATGGATAGTAACTTGGTAATATAGAGTGGTTACAATCACACATAGATAGTAGTTTTTTCAAAAGAAAAAAGAAAAAAGTAAGAGGAAAGAGGTTGCTCGGAGTTCTCAAGGAATGCTCTGAGGATCAGGGGAATGCTCGCTTTTCTCCCCTTCGATTGGCATGGTTCCCTCCATTTATAGAAGGGAAAAGCCTTAGTGGATGCCACCTGGTTCATGATGAAGCAATATTTTTTTATTAAGAAAAGATGACTTGATGGGATGCTAGAGGCTGGATGGATGCCACGTAGTTGGCCTTTATTTGAGAATCTTTCCGTAGAAACTTGATGAGATGGCTTCTGGACTTTGTCGGTGGTGTTTTGCAGGTGGCAATTGTCGTTTAGTATAAGTGGTGGTTATCTTATCAGGTAGTGGTTGTCACATCATTTGTCGTTTAGTACAAGTGGTGGCTGTCTTATCAGGTAGTGGCTGACGCATCAGATAATGGTTGTCGCATCAGTGTCCCACCTGTTTTTGTTTTAAGTTCCTTTTGTCACATCTTCTTTTGTCTGCCTTGCTTTATATCACATCTGCTTGCTTTTTGTCATATCACAAATACTATTGAAGATATGTACATCTTGGTTGGATTGGTTAATACAGGGTATGTTTCTGGGAAATGCCATGTCCTGATGGGTCTAGTGTATCAAGTGGTATTTCTATTTCAGAAGTACTTGGTGTGCTGGATTCATCATGAATTTGGGCAGTTTCTGCCTCTTCTTCAAATATTTTCATTAGTTGTTTTTCTAGGTCCTCTTTGGTGGCTCTAGTATTTTGCTTTTTCATTATGGTAATATATTCTGCCAGACTATTTGGGTTGGAGTATGGATGAGAGCCATATGCTAATGGGATTCGTTTGAGTTGTATATTGTCTGGTTCAATATTATGGTAGACAAAGACGTCCCACCATTTTATGGCAATTTGTTTACTTAAACATGGCATATATTCAAAATTATTTGTATTATTTGGGGATATCACAAAATTCCATTAACGATCCGTGGTACTTGATACATAGTAATAAAATATAAGTGGTAATCTATATTGGGATCACTCCCATTGAATTCAATAAAACGGTTTTGAGAGAGTTGTAGAGGTTCAGGAAGTATTTGGGTTAAAGATCCCTATGTTCCAAACCAGTTACGAAACCAATTCGGAAATGGAGTGTTTATAGGCATTTTAAACTGTAAGACCAAGAGTGAGAAATATATGGGTTTTGAAGTGTCAGTATCTTATGCCAAGCATCTATGTAATCAGCATGTCTGTAATATTTATTAGGGAAATCTGGGGAATATAATCTCTTGGCTTTGGAAGGGTCTGATCCCCAATCTTCAAAAGATAATACTTTCCTTATTTGTAATTTTAAATATGCTACTATTTTCGAATTCTTTTGATTATAATGTACCAAGGAGATAGACTCTGTTTCTAGTAGAATCATTTCGTACCATTCTCTTGTTTTGGTACCTACAGATGGACAAAGATTATTGCATAAGTAATACTTAGCAACATTATTTGGGTTGTCATGCACATGTCTGGATTCTATGATTGCATCAGCAACAAAATAGGTTTCAAGATATGGAGATTTGTTGGGTAAAGTTGGTTTCTTTGGTGTAGAGGTTTGGAAAACTGGAGCTGGAGGAGAAGCTGAAGGTTGGCTTGATTAAGCTGGATAATTGATGTTTGGGGAATAGGAAATAGGACTATTTCTAGGTGATAAAGCAGGTTCCATTCTTATTGGTGACTAGGTAATATTTACTGGAATGATATCCTGTGAGGTTTCCATAGGGGCTTTTCCCCTTTGTTCAGGAGTGGAAGTATTATTATTCTTATTCATATTTGCATAAAACAAAGTTTGTGGAAAAGATAAAGCTGGTGGATCAAAATGATCAGTGTTGCCCTCCATGCAAAAATTCACGAGTAAGAAAATCAAGGAGATGGTTAGTAGTACCTTTTAAGTGTTCGATAGAAAAATCAAAAGATGATAATATCGCCTGCCATCGAGCAAAGATTTGCTTAGAGACAAGGTTTTGCACATCCTTAGTAAGAATATCAGTGGCGGCTTTACAATCTGTTCTAATAAGAAAATGCGTATTAAGAATATCACTCTAAAATTTAGTAACACAATGAACTATGGAAAGTATTTCTTTTTTCACGGTAGAATAATTTTATTGAGTAGAATTCCTAGCTTTCGAAGTATAGCGGACTAATTGCTCATTAGAGTTTATTCGTTGTTTTAAAATACCTCCTAAGCATAATTCAGAAGCATCACATTTTATAATTTTGAAAGCATTAGGATTAGCTAGATTTAAACAAGGTAATTCTTTAGCTTTAATTTTTATTTTTCTTATAGCTTGAGTATGTTCTTCTGTCCACTTGGGAGGATTCTTTTTAAGCCGTTCATATAATGGTTTAGCATCTATAGCCAATTTTTCATAAAAGTCTACTATATAATTTAAACATCCTAAAAATCTTTGTAATTCGGTTTTTTCTAAAACAATATCAGGAAATTTATCAGCAAATTGAATAGATCTTTCGTTTGGTATAATTGTACCATAATGAATATGATGGCCTAAAAATCTTACTTTCGTTTGAAAAAGATTTATTTTTTTAGCAGATACTACTAAACTTGCATGTTTGATTGCTTGTACAAATGTATGAATTTGTTTACAATGTTGTTCGATAGTATCCGAGAAGACTAAAACATCATCAATGTATACTATCATAAATTTATAATATGGATTAAATACTTCATTCATTATTTTTTTAAAATTCTGATGGAGCATTTTTTAATCCGAATGGCATTACGTTCCATTCATATTGTCTAAATGGAACATTAAATGCAGTTTTATATTTATCTTCTGCTTTTATTTGTATTTGCCAATAACCAGATTTTAAATCAAATTTAGAAAAGATTGTAGCAGTAGCAAGTCTATCGAGTAAGTCTTTTTTATTAGGTATTGGATACCTAATCCATTGTAAAACTTTATTCAAAGGTTTATAATTTATTAGTAATCTTGATACTCCACTTTTTTTTTCCGCATTTTTATTGACATAAAAAGCAGTATAGCTCCAAGGAGATGCACTTATTCTTATTAGATTTTTTCTTTGTAATTCATCAATTTCTTATTTATAAAATTCTGATAAGGTTGTATTCATTTGTATTGGTCTAGCTTTGGTAGGAATTTTTGTTTCATCAAATCCTTTTTCGTAAGGTAATCCTACGATATGTTTCTTTCTTTTCCAAAAGGCATTGGGAAGGTCACTACAAATTTCTGTTTCTATCTGAGTCCGAAGATTATTAATTTTTGTTATTTTCTCAGGGTTTTCTAAGTCTTCTTCTATTTGTTTATATTTTATTTCTATTTTAAGGGAACATAGAAACTTTTCTTTATTATTTATTTTTTCTTTGACTCTATTTATTTCTTTAAGTTTTGGTTTTTTAAAAATTCAAACTTAACTGTTTGTCCTACTCTAGATGTTTCTATTCCTGAATTATTAATTGTTATGGGATATAGTAAGGTTAGGAATGGAATTCCAAGTATGACTGCCTGACTTAAGTTTTTTACCATAATAAAAGGTGTTGGAAAACAGTGTCCATTATTACATACCATGGCATTGATAATTTGTATTTAATAAATAATCTACTACCATCAGCAGTATTAAGTATTTGAGTAGTTTTATCAAAATATTTTGATGGAACTAAATCTTCATTAATACAATTTAAATCTGCACCTGAATCTACTAAGGCTAATGTTTGAAAATTATATTCTTCTGCAATGACAATTTTTACTAATATAAATCATTTTTGGGAAATAATTTTATTTACTAAGTTTACAGATATATTTTCTTCAACTTCTTTGGTTCCGGAAGTTTCTGGTTCTTTATCACTAGGATCTGCTAGTTGATCGAATTCGATTTCATCTGTATCAGTTACAGTTCCTGATATGTCATTTTGTAATTCTAATATTTTGATTCTAGTTTTTAATTGTCCTACTTCTGTTTTTATTTCATTTACTTCTTTTTTTAATTCAGATATTGTGGGTTCTCTTTGAAGTATATCTTTTTTATTAATTCGTTTGAGTATTTCAGCAAAATTGTAATCCTTTAGTTTTTTGAGTAATGGATCTAGTTTATTTTGTGCTTTTGTTAATGTAATAAATTGGGTAATAATTTCTCTCTTTTCTTCTAGATCATTTATTTTTTCTATAAGGTCTAATATTAATGTATCTTCTTTGGATAGCATATTACATGAACATTCTTTTATATTCTGTTCAGATCCAGATTGTTCTGTTGAGGACATGAAATAATCTTCATCTTCTGCTTGTCCTACCATTGTAGTATCAGTGGAAGATTCAGAAGAATCATCATCATATATTTGTATTATATCATATAGTTTATTTCTATTGAGTCTTCTAAGATTATAGTATCTATTTTCTTTTTTATTTTACATT